GTTGGATGCTTTTGGTTTGTCACTTGATTCTGTAACCCGATGTCTCTTCAGAGGCCAGGCGCTGCTGTTGACCTTTTCATGATGTCTGCTCACAGATAAGGCAACATGTTTCAAACCAAGGTCAATATTTACTCATCAGCAATACGCACCAAACACAAGCACAACAATTCAAGACTGCAGAATGACCAACTTACTAAAGTTTTTGATTATTATTCTTAAGCTGCTGGATTCCATGTTCGGGTTCTGAATTGTTTCAGGTCTTAAGCTGATATTTAGTAAAGTAGACTTTTGGCATATTCATTTATTTATGTGTTGTGTTTTTGGCCCTCAATACTATTGTTACCCAGGTCTTGATAGCACTGGCTTTCAGGAGTGCTGAACCCAGTCCACCTAAAACAGCAGTATTGTCCTTGGGGAGCTCTGTGTGTTTCCTGAGCCTTAGTGGATGCCTAAATTGGTCAGGCAACCCACACTCCCACTCCCACCCCCTATGATTTCCATGTTCTTCAGGCCCTTTTTTGGACTGGGGTGCTCGTAAGTGAGAGGGAAGGAGAGAAGAGGACTGGAGGGGAAGGACGGGGGTGTGAGTGACACAACAGATCTCCAGAGAGAGAGAGAGAGAGATGGACAGAGAGTGTGTTAGCGACACTGTAGCTTTCTTAATAAGGGCATGTCTGGAATGTCAGCCCTTCTCTCTCTGTAGGTCCATACCAGTGGTCTCCTCTACTCCTTATGATAACCGCTTTGGCTGTTTCTGAAGTCCGGTCATGGCTTTTCTTGCATATTTGCCATATTATGGTTATTATAGTCACTAGTTGGGATGGGTTCTTTAACTAAAAATGTTGTAAATATTTCAGAGTTGGCACATCTGTGAATGAATGCTGACGTGGACGTAACCCAAAATAGTTAAAAATGGCTAAGCAGTGGTAAATCTATTAAAAAACATTCTTTTTTTCTGTCTTGAGAATGTTGCAGTATTGTTGAATGAGTTTGACCGAGCGCTCAGCAAATCCATGGCCACAAAAATGCTTTGTGGGCAGTTCTTATTAGTTTACACTGTTTTTCAGATTCATTTTCCACATGTCCTCAGTGACTTCGCTAAAGAATGAAGGCCCTAATGGTAATTTCCTTAAGATGAATTCCAGCCTGTTTGTTTGTAGAGAAGTTTTTTGGGTTTGGGTTGTTATTATAAATCACAAATTCTATATACTGTAGCCTACATTACAGTTGAGAAGTTTGGGGTTAATAAGATAAAAAAAAAAGTAAGAAATGAATACTTTTATTCAGCAAGGACACATTCAATTGATTAAAAGTGACAGTAAAGACATTTGTAATGTTACAAAATGTTTCACAGTTTCCACAAAAATATGTAGCAGCACAGCTGTTTTTAACATTGATAATTATAATAAAGGTTTCTTGAGCATCAAATCATCATTTTCAAATGATTTTTAAAGGATCATGTGACTCTGAAGACTGGAGTAATGATGCTGAAAATTCCGCTTTAATCCCAGGAATAATTTACATTTTTAAAATATATTCAAATAGAAAACAGTTACAGTATTTTGAAATGTCATAATGTTTCATAATATTAGTTTTTACTGTATTCTTGATCAAATATATGCAGAGAGCATAAGAGACTTCACCAACCCCAAACTTTTTGATCGCCGGTATAGCCTATACAGTAGGCTAATGTTGATTTTGTTTATGTAGTGCATTGAAATGTTAATTGTGGGGTTGTAATCACAAGATATTCAATATGATTTTGTTAACGGTAAACAATTAAGAAAGTCAAGTCACCTTCATTTACATAGTGCTTTTTACAGTACAGATTGTTTGAAAGCAGCTTTACAGTGATAATAGGAAATGAATGCAACAAGGACAGCATCTCTAGAAGAAAGTAATTGTCTAGCTTAAGGAGAGACAAAAAAAAACCCTAATAAATGTCACCATACTTCACCAGTTGATTGATTACATTAATAATTGCAAAAAAAAATTGCATTACAAGTTTAAATATGCAAATTAGGTGTTATCTATTTAAATATGCACTAATTTGCATACATTTCTTGGACACAAATCTGAACATTGGATAAAGTCAGGGTCACAATACTTGTTGAATTTTTTTTATATATATTAGAGTCAAAGATTTTTACAGAGGGGATTTTGGATATCTTTATTTATCACTAGCTGTCAACAGCCAAAAATAAATACATTTTCGCCATTTTTTTGGGGAATAAAATGTTGTATAAAACCTGGAAAATTATATATGAACAAACCCCTCTTTAAAAAAAACTTCAGAATATAGATAAGAATACAACTTTTGGTGTATGCTACTAACTGAAGTGGAGATTTCTGGCTCAATGTAGGAGGAAAAACTCATTTTGAGGAAACGGCCTTTATATACTGTAATTGAAATCTACAAACGCAAATAGATAAAGCGCTCTAAAAGATACAGTTAAAAGTGTATTTTTGGCTGTTTTCTGTCCTCTAGTCTGAAAAAACACTTTATGAAAAGCCAAAAAGCACAAAATCTCAAAATTTGACAGATGGATAAAATAAAAAAAACACTGTTTTTAGTGTCTCGCCTTAAGTATGTTTTTTGATTGATTACTTTCCGTTATAGTTATTTCCATTAATTAGTTATTAACTTAGGGGCCGCTTACACTACACCATTTTCAACTGAAAACAGAAAACTTTGAATGCGTTCTGGCTGTTCATTTACACGACATTCTTTGAAGTAGGTTTTAAAGTGCAAGTTTTTGAAAACGAGTTTTGAAAGCGTTTCTTCTTCATGTAAACTTCAAAAACATGAATCTGTGAAAACGGTGATGGCATGCACTTTCCTATTACACATTATATAAATATAAATATTTCGGTGACTTTAATGCTTTGGCCAAGTTTGATTAATTTTTTGCAAATCATTTATTTTATACTGAATTTTGTCAAAAAAATAAATAAGCCTTTTTATTTTTTACAATACGTTGATATGTCACTCAAACCTATTTTATTATAAAGATTTGAGAACAGCCAGCTTCCATTATCTACTTGACTACTATGATATTGGTCAATGTTGCTCAGCCTTGTCTTGTTGACACCAAGGAAATTTATCAGTGCCTTCAGTAGATTCTCTTGATTTTCAATACCAGTGCTATTAATACCCTCCAGCTCACGAAAGCTGTAAAGCACGTCCTTGAAAATCTGATATCTCGTCACCTGAACTTGACTTGACATCAGGAGTCTGAAAAATCTGGCGCCTTGCTCGGCAGCTCAGTGTGCCCTCTGCTCCGACAGCCATTTTGTCTTTCCTGTCCAATTCTCCTCTTTCCCCCATCGCATAATGGGATAGACGGATTGACAGGGCATATGCAAATGATTACATGATCCTGAAAGATTCTTTATTTAAAGTAGGGGTGGGAAAAGCTCCAGCTCCAAAGGGAGATTCATGGTCACACCATCTGGACTGATAGTAACTGTCAACCCTCCTATTGGTCTTGAGCCGTCTCAATCAACCAATTATTGTAAAGCAGTCTGGAAGGGGGTGGCTGATGATCCTCTAAAGTCGTCTGGGATACGTTTTACTTGTATTCGCTGACCTTGTATTCCTTCTTCCACAGATCACAAAATGCGATATTTTGAGGAATCTTCATGTAGTCGTTTCCATACAACAGCATTCATAAATACCACAGCTGCTAAGCTCCTCAATGGTTAAAGGAAATACCAAAAAGGCCGCATATAAGTGATCCATTTGACCCATGTGCTATATTTTTAAAATCTTTAGCAGCCACACAATAGTTTTGAGTGAGAAGCAGATCATAATTTAAGTATTTATTCCCTGAAAACCTTCCCCTCCAGTGATCTGTTAATTCAAGGACAATTGTGACCGGAGTCAATAAGATGAATGATTCATCAGTTCATTCCACAAACTGTTCAGTCGGATTTGTGACTCAGACAAACTGGTTATTCGACTGACTTGTTTCTAGAGTTGAACTTAATGATCTGTTGATTAACAGCTCACAGATTCTCAGTTAATAAAGACATACATTTCAGTCTGTTCACATGAATAGCGAATGAGTTTTGTTGCTTTTTTTCATTTTTGGAGATTACATTTGCAGTGAAACGCAAGCAGTGACAGATCTTTTCGTTCTGTGACGTACATGCGAGTGAAACCGGAGAGAGCAGCCAAATGTAAAAAAAGGGTCAGGATTTAAGTGGACTAAATGATTAGAAAATTCAGCAGAAAAGAGTTGTGACACTTTGATTTAAAATGAGTTCAAAGACTTAAAAAAATAAAAAATAATTTAATGTATGAATCATTCACACTGAGAAAAATAACATGCATTTAGAAGATTTTCAATTTCATGCCCAATGACCAAATTCTTATTTTACGATAACCATAACAATATAGTTATTTTGTGTTATTTGATCTAATTTCTGTTATTAAAAGTAAGAAACAACGAAGCAAATCACAAACAATAGGACAAATAGAAAAATATAAATTAAACAAATAAAGTTTTCAGGCAGGTTTATTTAACATGTAGTTAGAAGAATTAATAATCAAATGTAAAAATAAAATATTGCATAGTCTTCACTGTATGGATAAAATATAAAATTATTTTTATTTAAGCTAAAAAAAGTTGTTCAGTCAAGAGCAGTAAGTCATTTTCTCTTTTGTTTGATTCACATTAATGACACAGAGCGGCAGGTTTATTAGGCTGCTGTCACTTTAAGACCAAATGCACGGATCCATTATACTGATACACATCCGCTTTACACACAACCGTTCACTCTCACTTGAGACATAACCGGCTGTGTTTACATGAATACTTCACACGGTGGGCATTTTGACATAATTGCCTGTATATTCGACCTTTCAAGTGCAACAAGACGCGAACGAGAGAATTTTCATTTTTAAATGGGAGAATTAAACATTTTGGGTGAACTGTTCCTTTGAATGTGACCTCCGGTTTTAATAATCTCTCTCTCTCTCTCTCTCTCTCTCCTAGTCCTGGGTGTGAGGGCTCACGTAGGGGCCCAGGTGGAGCCGTCACCATTGCAGCCAACGAGTGGAGCGCCAACGAGAGCCCGGAGGAGGGGCAGGAGGATGGAGTGGATGGGATGGACAAGGCCGGAATGGAAGGGGATGCGGAGGGCGTCTGGAGCCCTGACATCGAACAAAGTTTTCAGGAGGCTCTGGCCATTTACCCACCCTGTGGCCGCAGAAAGATCATACTTTCAGACGAAGGAAAAATGTATGGTGAGTCTTGGAGAGCTAAATACCCCCCAGCAGGGACGTGCACAGGAATTTTGTGGGGCAGTTGCTCTGACCTGAAAAAAGGGCACTACCCCCAAAACTCACGGGCTATATGAAGGAATATATTCAGTTGAATTTTGCCCATACAAATTGCCTTATCTGACCGTGTTTATGTCCAAACGCAATGCCTCATATTATGGTCTTATTATTTATAAAGATTGCAAACGTCAAAGATGACAGGTTTATGATACGCAACTTTGTAAACAGTATACAAAATGTATTAACAATATGTTAAATGTCACCAAAATACACATGAGAAAAAGAGTTCCTCATATTATTGTTTATTGTTTTTAAATTTTTTAAATTTTTTTTTAAAATTAATAATCTGGATTGAATTCTTGACAGATGGGGAAAAACTCGCTTCTAATAAAAAAAAAAAAACGCTTAGATTTCGGAAAAAACACAATCCTTTTTTAACCTGTTGGCTTCCCGTACAATCAATTGTGCTTTTTGCTCATCTGGGCAACTACGCATGATTTGTAGTATGATTGCGAAAAGGGAACAGGAATTCCGGTAAGGAACAGAATCGACTGCTACACCCAGTGCCGATCCTGACCTCCCTGGGGCCCTAAGCAAAATTCTGCTAAGGGGCCCTCTACCTGACCCGTGATGTCGTGAGCTATGTAAACCATTTGCCATTGCCACAGTCACACCTGACACTTCAGCGCTCCCATACAATCCTCCCTTCTTTAAACAAAACAGTCAAAGAATTAGTACAACAATATAGAACAGAATGAGGTTCAAACACACAGTATTTATTGAATAGAGTATTTTCTATAGAATGTTAAGATAAGTGAATATTATTAAGTAAGTGAATATTAACGTAAACATAAATAAGAAGAAAATAATAAATTATAACCCTGAGCTTTGGCTTTTGGGATTAACTTTGGTTCTTTCTACAGCCTGGGCATTTTCGGCATCAGTATGATTTTTTTAATTTTGTATTATGCATGTTGAAGCAATTCTTGATTTATGGTTATTATTTACTGAGGGATGTGCATCCATTTTGACCAGTATGTCCAGCTAATCAACATTTTTAATTCAATATAGCCTATAAATCAATATCAATCAATGTCAAATTGTCAATACATTGCTTTCCATCTTGCATAATTAGTGCAGTTGTTTAGAGTTTTTAACTACACTGAGACTAGATAATCAGTGTCTTGTTTTAAAAGTATAATGTGTACTTTGATTGGGAGTGCCATCATTCACGTGCATGTATTGTACAGTATGTCTGGTCTCCACATATTTCTGCTTGAAAAATGCGAGTTTCATTTCGGCAACGCGCATTATGAACGCACGATAACATACGCGACGCGGTTATGTTTTCCGAGCTGCAGTAAACAAACACCGTTGCACTTTGTCGTTTATCAAAATCAAACGTAATAAATAATTGTATTTTACTCTCACTTTTGTCAGCCACAAAGTGATGCAAGAGATGCACTGCCTGCCCAGCTAGGTTAGCAAGACCGAAAAACATCAAACTTTGCTGACATCAAACTTAGAGAGGAGAGAACACAAGTTTACCTGATTGTTGTTCCCGCAATTCACTCTCATTGTTTTTTTCTTCTTCCTCTTTTCGTGACCAGAAGGATAGTTTCGCTTCATTTTGTCGTGGATGTTGTAGCTACACATTTGACGGCGCGCTATGACTATGACACGAGATGGAGGCGTGGCCTTAAGTAATTTGCGTGGCCCTACGCCGGTCGCGTGCAGTCTATGGTCGCGTGCAGCGTTTGCCCTTCATACTGACTTTCACTTTCGGTGCCCGAATGGAAGTAAATGAGGCTTTGCGATTTTTTTTAAATCTAGGCCTACGTGAAATTCTGCATCCATTGTACGATTGAATTTTTTTCTCGGAAGGGCAACTTGAGTGAGAAGGGCATATGGGCAGTTGCCCGGGCAACCTGAGCAACCCCCCTGTGCACGTCCCTGCCCCCCAGCGAGAGTCACTTGCTTGCTTTGTGCTCAGAACACTTTGCAGGCAAAGCATTAGAAACGGATCAGCTATTTATTGCAGCAGTGCTATTGTTGGGAAAAATGTAGTGAAACAAGGTAAGGACAAACAGGGCCAAGTCATGTTGTAGGAGTTTTATTGAAGTGAATCAGAGGGTGAACTTATGACACTCCCCACCTCCAGATTTCCCCGTTCCCACACGGGATCCACTGACAGGAATGCTGTGTCTCCCATTTAAGTCAGCATTCTCAGTAAAGCATGAGTCAGCCTCCTGACTCAAGCGTGACATTTTTTTCATTACTGGCTGTATGATTCAGACGTGACAATAAACAGACTTGATCCATTTCAGTCTCATCAACTATTAAAAATACTTGATCATTTAAAGGAGTTAATTCATTGTTTGGGTTTTATAGTGTATAAATGACTGCATATCTACCGAGGTGTGTCTGGCTTCTACCAAGCATAGCTTTTCTAAAAGCAGGTCAGTTTGTAACTGTTTACAGGCCAGCTATAGTTAGAGAAACCAAACATTATCAGTTAAATATTAATTTTTTAATTAGAAATGATGTATTATAACATGTAGAGTTCTAGGTTCTAAAATGTAGCCTTTAAGCCAATGATGAGAGTGTGATTCACTACAGTTTGTTTTTTGCAGAGCCCAACTGAAATATGCGTTGCAATCATTGTGAATAGTTTTTGGGTCAGAAACCATTGTATTATTTTTTTTTTATAGAGCAATTCACTTCGATTTGTGTTTTCACTATTGGTGTAAAGCTGGTAAATTGATATTGTCTATACGAGCAGATACTCTAAAGCTGCGGTCACAAAAATCCAGCAATTTTGCATGAGCTAGAAAGGACATTGTTTATTGTCAATGCAGTGTAGCGGATGATGATTTACAGTAGTGTTGTGAAGTATGAAGTCACTTGCAAACCATTCAGCATTTTGTTGCCCAACGCAACAAACTTGTGCAACCAAATTAAACCCATTTGCAAAATCAGTGTGGGAAAATATTTTGCACTCATGCGATATTCACGTTTGGCTGCGAAAATGTGTCGAGCAATTACCGCACCTTGAGATAATACTTTTGCCACGTTTGTGATATTACAAATCATTAGCACGAATACTCAGTAATTAGTAAGAACTGGGCTAGGATTAGACTATGTAACATCGATAAACGAAGCTTTACCCCTAATCCTTTTGTTAACTGACTGTGGAACGCATCAGGATTTAATATATGATTGCTGGCACAAATGAGCTCTGTTGGCTTTGGGGTGTTTTGACCTTTGACCCTCTCTGTAGAAAAGGCTTATGGAGACCGGCCCACATTCTTTTCTTTTTTCCCCTTGGCTTGAAGGGGACACACATTCCACAACTCCGTGGCCTTGTCCTCGGCTGTAATGCTCCACCCACGTCTGTCACACAAGCTCTAATCCCCCTCGCAACAGATGAGGAAGGTTTGTTTCAACAGCCATGCATTTTGTCCTTTTGTGGTAGCATGGGCTGTCAGGATCCGTTCACTCTGTGTGTCCGCTTACGTTACCCCGCGGAGGCCCTTGGGCCCTCTCTCTTCTCTCCGTACGACAAGATCATCCCCTTCCACTCTCTTTTACAAACAACCCTTTCTCGGACCAGTTACGTTACTCCTGCCAAGACCCTGATGTCAATCTCCAAAAGCGAACAGCGTCTCCTGATATGCCCCCTCTCTCTACCACCCCCAGTGCACACAAGTTCATTGGCCGCAATGTATACTTTGACTAGACAGCACTAAAATAGCCCGGCTATCTGATGCAGGCAGAAGAGAACTGGCCTAGTGACTTTGTGGATTTGGTTTTTGTGTGCACAGAGTTTGCTATAGACAATTTCCGAAGTTTCACCAGATATGGTGTTTAGTCAATAAATGTAAACCTCTGGATGAAACGTGAGACTCAAATAAACACACTAACATACGATTGAGAAAATAGTTGGATCTAAGCGTTCAAATGCTTAAAAGTCAGCATGAAATGGAAGATACGACAGTCTTCCCTATTGTACAAGAAAAATGTAGGGCTAGACTTAATTTTGTCCATGTGGAATTGGTTGATTGGTTGTGGTTTGCTATTGGTTGATCTCATGTGAGTGACAGGTTGCCCCGCCCTCATATCATTAGAGAAGAGATGTCCCTGCAAGAGGGAGGGGAAGGTATTTTGATTTAAAGACTATGAACAGGGTCTCCTTAGACGCTGAGGGCTCATAAATTGTTAATAAATAATATTTTAGAAGTAGAGCTGAAATAAACCTTGTTTTCTGTAGTTAAGCGAAGATAGGCTAATTCTCATTCTAGCCCATATAGCATACATATCCGGGCCTCATCTGGGCCAACTACTGCAAATATGGCTCTGTGCCATAGTTGGCCCAGATGAGGCTCTGGGGGTGGTAGAGAGAGGGGGGCATCTCAGGAGACGCTGTTCGTTTTTGGAGATTGACATCAGGGTCCTGACAGGAGTAACGTGACTGGTCCGAGAAAGGGATATGTATGCTATTGCCAGCCACACTCAGGTTGGGTCATCGCCGTCATTCCAAGCGGTATGTGAGCCAGAAGTAAGTGGGAGATGTGGGCCACAATTGGGCCAGATGTAATTTGCTATCTGGGAGAGAGCATTTGATTGGACAAAACCGCAGCATGAGTCATCAATATTTTAGGTCCATTTTTCTTAAATTGAAAGACTATCAGTTTAAAATCTGTTTTAAATTCTGTATTAAATGTGCTAAAAATGAAAATCGCCATCGTTAATGACTACACTAGCAGATAGGTTTGAAGCTTTTATTTTTATCTGTGTAAGCAGCTCACTATTTTTTGGATTATAAATATTTTGTCTGACACTGTATGACGTTGGAACTGAAGGATCGAGTTTTATTTTGTCCTGATCCCTAGCATTTAGTGGCCATTAATGTTCCTCAGAGCTTCATTACTCACTGCAAAACTCCTGCTGTCTTCTAGCAAAAA